AATGAAGGTTGAGTATTTGAGATCACTTTCACTTTCTAGTAATACTGATTCCGGTTAGAGTAGTTTTATTAATTATATACTAGTTATAATGATTAATTAAAGCTGCTAGCAAAGTGAGAAGAGGAATGACTTTTGAAATTGATGACTGCAAATTTCATCTTAAAGCAATGACAAGTCCAGACTATCAGCCATTAGTAGATAATAAAAGAATAATAGAGAAATTACAAGAAAGAATAACATTAATGAATATGGAACTAATGACTGAAAGAGAACACAGTGCAAAGATTATAAAAAATATTAAAGGTTTTAATCATTATGTGTAACATCATTTGATTGTTGATATTTGAATAGATTTGACAAATGTTAAAGACAAAGAGACTAGTAATGAAGAGATTGAGTATGATAGTCTAAAGGATGAGGTGAAGGATCAGATATGTTCAGTAAGTGAAGTCAGACATGATAAGTAGATCTTATATTCTTTTTAATTAGTTCATATTGTATTGTAATCATCCTGTTACTGGAAGATTTATGATGTCAACACTTCAGTTGCATAAAGATGAACTACTACCCACAGTACTGAATAAAGCTTATGAGGTTTATTATTTTTAGTTAATTCTTTCATTTTTTAATTTCTATTCTCCTCATTTCTTAATCAGGTAATGAAATTAGCTCCTTATATTCCTATTGAGAGGTGTCGTTTGGTTAAATATGATTTTAAGTATCATGTAATGGAGCAGTCCTTTGACCTTGATGAAGTATAATTAAGTTTTGTGTATCCTGTTGTTATTGTTATTTTTAGTTTCAGCATCAAACTATTGGACAGATTGTTGGTGGGGCTAGACTTTATTATCCTCTTGGATTATTCATAGAAACTTGTGAATCAAATGAATTTTTTCATAAATACCATGATGGAGGTGAGTTACAACATATGACAGTACCTCTAATTACATGTACATGTGTTTGATGGTGTAGGTATTAATCTAAAGATATCAGTGGTTGATCTGTCAACTGGTGGTAAAAAAGGACCAGCTAAACCAGTGAGAGTTGAGAAAGGTTGGACTGTTGAAGAATTAAAACAACATATAAGAGAAGTAATAATGTAATATACATGTATTATTCTACCATGCCACCTTGCGATTGACCAATCAGATTGCAGTATTGGAGGTCAATTATTTTTCATATTAACCTAGCTCGTAAAAATATAAACCTATCTCGTTAAATAATTAATTGATTGGCAGTTTGGTACTCTACGCTTATGCTCTTATTAGTCCATTTATCAAGTTTGGTTGATTCTTTACTGGCCTAGCCTGTTAGATATGTTGTATGTATGTCAAGTTGTCAACTGTGGTCTTATTATCAGCAGCTGGTAGTTGTTTTTCAATTGTCATGGTAGAAGTTGGTTATACACCTCGGTATCGGTTTCTATGGCATTTATTAACCTCGCGACTGCGTCGCTCGGTTAATAAATACCATAGAAACCTCTACCTCGGTGTATAACCTATACTTCTACCATGCCACCTTGCGATTGACCAATCAGATTGCAGTATTGGAGGTCAATTATTTTTCATATTAACCTAGCTCGTAAAAAATAAACCTATCTCGTTAAATAATTAATTGATTGGCAGTTTGGTACTCTATGCTTATGCTCTTATTAGTCCATTTGTCAAGTTTGGTTGATTCTTTACTGGCCTAGCCTGTTAGATATGTTGTATGGTATGTCAACTGTGGTCTTATTATCAACAGCTGGTAGTTGTTTTTCAAGTGTCATGGTAGAAGTTGGTTATACACCTCGGTATCGGTTTCTATGGTATTTATTAACCTCGCGACTGCGTCGCTCGGTTAATAAATACC